TCTTTGAAAATTTCTAAATTCCAATACGTGGTAAAATTTCAATGTTTTTGGCTGCCGATGTACATTTCACAAGTATCTGAATAAAGTTCAAGTAGCAGTTGTAATCATCGAGTATATACTATTAATTAAAATCTGTTATTTATTATTATTTTAAATGTCGATAAATAAGTCGAAAGCAAACCGATAACTTCATCGAGATAAATTATTTCTGAAAAACGAAACGACTAATATTAAAATAAGTTATATGCAAGATGATAAATATGAAAATATTAATCGATTTAACTTCTCTCTCCAAATACATTTGTGTATTTTCATATAATTGTGCCTAATCGTTTTGAACAATCTTGAAAAAAGAGAATTGTTAAAAAGTGTAAGTGTTTTGCGATGTCGCTCACATTTTTGCGATTACCTGAAACCGATATATTTCTCAGGAGGTGTATATTCCCGCGTGAAACTTTTCCAATCGGTGTTTTAGAAGTTTTGTTGCTTTCTCCGGCTTCTTGATCTTGTTGCCTCGAAGATAGATAGAATATTTAGCCGAAGAGTTCGATAGTATTTTGTATCCCTAGCTTCTTCGAGATAATACTTGTATTAGTTTCAACAATTTGACGAGTTTATCAATTAACAAAGATGGCTTTATCTTAAAATTAATTATATTCCACCGAGATTAAAAATATAAATTCTGTAATTTATCAATTTTAATGTTATGTTAAATTTTCCATGAGAAAACAAAGAAATAAATTTGTTTCTACGTTGCAAACGAATGAAATTTCTGGAAGTCGACTTCGCTATGCCGGCATGCAGCGCGTTCTTCCTGGAAACAAACTGTTCGTTTCGATGGCGGGAAAGAAGCCCTCGTTAGGGAGAGACGTTCGTTCAATTCGATTTAAACGGTATATTGTGTTTAATTGGAAAATTGTCAGGTTTTCAATTGAATTTTCATGCAAACGATCGCTTTAATTAGCCGACCGGTAACTGGATGATTTCTTCCAGCGAAGATCAATCGAGCGGTGGAAAGTGCTAATAAAAGTTATGCAAGATATTTAAAACGATATCTTTCTCATTCCCCTATAACTAAATATGATAAAGAGAATCATTACTTTGCGTTTTGAAACGTTGATTGATTTTTAATTCGTACTATCTTCTTTATTATTTTTGCGTAGAAACGTTCGAATCTATATTTCTAATAAAGTTTGAATATGTTTGCTTATTATTTTCGATTAAAAGAAATTTTATAACAATTGAATGAAGATGTTCGATGCCGACCGAGGTATGAAGAAATTTTTTCGCCCCCTTATCTCGCGCAACTTCGACACTTGGAATAATAGTCGAATGGAAAATTATATGCGCCGTGACCCGATATCGTGTATAAATATTGAGACGAGCCACGTAAGTACACGGGATCGAACTTCTCTGTCTGATAAATCAAACAATCGTGCCAATATTTGCACGTTTTTACATAAATCTCGATCACATTATCGTAAACCTTATTATAAACCTTAAACATTCTTGTGAAAATGAGTTTATCTGTGGTTAGGAATTTTTTTTTTCTTTTTTCTTGTAAATACTTGAGATTCGATGATCTGATTGAATTATCTTATTTCGCTCCAATATCGAAGTGAAAAAATAAGATTAATCATCTGAAATGTTGCTCGTATTCGGAGATCGTATCTATAACAAACTTTCGATTCTATTCCTTCATATCTTGTCAAAATATCTTTATCTTAAACAATTTTGTAAATACTTCAAACTCAATGGTCAAATATGTAATTTCTTTTTCTTTTTTTTTTTTTAGGATATTCAAATAAACGAACAGAATTCGTATCTGTTCGAAACCTTTTTAATATTAAATCTTCCAGATCGATCATCAATTAAAATCTTAAAGATTTGTTTGTTGAACACAATCGATAACTAACCAATTAAAATGCTTTTCCAAATTATAAATATTCTATAAAAATTTCTGATTCACTTGACCAAAATTTAAAGCAGATTATCGAACAAATAAATCCATTCATGATTCGTGGACAGATCGAAAGACAATATAATTACCATAATTTATCTATTTTTCTCGATGGCATGGCCATTCTTCAACAAATGGATATTCAAACGTAATTCACTGCTATTCGTAATTGGAACAATATCGAGATCATGAGCCGCTAACCATCAATATTCTAGAAATTTAATTCAGTTCAAATGATAAAAATCTACTTCTGTTTATATATTGAGAATTCAAAGAAGAGAAAAATCATAACGATGAATTCTAAATTCGTCAACAAAAAAATTCTCGACAATATTTAAAATATCGATTCCTCTCCACAGACAAACTAGGACTCTGTATTTTTTTTACGTTCTTGTTGTTTTAAAATAAAACAAAATAAATATTATTTTCTATTCTATTTCTAAAAAAAAATTAATTATTTCGCTCTTAATTTCGTATATAACGCATCTCTATCGTAATCTCTGTTAATTCAAACAATACGAATTCTAAAAAAATTTTAGATCAATTTCAAATGAGTCGTCGGTCCGGATCGAAAGTTCGATTGAAAAATTTACAAACGAAGAGTTCCATTGAATCGGTATATACTACGACGAAGCCCTTATTGAGTTCTACTACGGGCCTCGTTGCCCCTCTCGAGAAATTGATTAGGGTGAACTTCTAGATGGTCCATATATTCCATTCACTCGAATCGTGAACATGAATGACTTGATCGCTGAAAAGGCACAGTTACAATGAATGATTCTACACGTAGTATATACCTACGGATCGAATGAACGAACGATCTTTCCGAGGCCACGTGCCGGGGCCAAAGTTCGATGGGATTTATCTCTTAGATTCGATGTACGTGTTTATTTACTAACATTCACCGATCCGATATTGGTAAAAAGTATTTGCATAAAAAGACGTAATAAATAAAAGAGGCCAATAAATCTGGTGATCCCTGTTGCAAGCTTCGACCCTTATCCATCCTGTTTTTCGTCCAATTCTCTCTCTTTTGTTTATTTGTTTCCGCAGATCAGAGAAAAATAGCAAGATAAAACGATATGCATATGTTTGCATATCGTTAAACATTAACACGTATGAACACTTTTATATTTCTACATCTTTTCCAAAATGTGGGGAAACCGATTATATAATAAACTTTTTCTCTTAATTAACCTTATATTTGATCCAATGGATATACAATTCATGAATAAGAATTGAAATAAAAAATAATAACTGTTATTGAAAAATTTTATAATGATTGAAAGAGAGAAATGAGTCCTCTCAATTAATAAATAACGATAATAAAAGATAATAAAATTATTCATCGATTCAATTATTGTATAGATTTTTAAATGTGATCGTGAAAAGAAAAAGGTTATATGGTAAATAACAGCTTAAGTGATTTTTAAATTTCAAATAAAAAATAAAATAATCTTCGGAAACGAATCGATAAACCGGAAAGGGAATGATAGAAGAAATTAACACAGGCAATTTCCATACACGAGTGCCTACACAGAATCAGCAAGGTCGATTCACTGAACGGCCCTCATTACGGATTCGAAATTAATACATATTCCGATCGGGTTAGTTGCGTTCTACGCATGCGCATACTCCGCACACGCGATTCTCGCTGTATGGAAATTTCGGAAACAATGTTATTTCGTGATCAAACATCATCGGTATCGCGAATAAGTCAAGTTTTTGCTAAATTAACCGAACTAAAAAAAAACACAGATGTCTTGCTTTATCCTTCTCTCGATAATCTCGCGGAATTGGTTCACGATAAGCGTAAATATATATGCGCACATACATAGGATATACATATATATATATATATATATATATATATATATATAAGATACACTTATATAGAAATTAAAGAATAATACACGAAAATAATTCTCGAATGCATCCATCCTTCGTAATCACTAACAATAAGGACACGTAAAACGAAGATATATGTAATAGGCAACCACGTGCAAAGGGACGCAACGAAACGCGCATGCGCGTATTTTGAGGCGGGAAGTGCGCGTGAACGTTCGTAGAATACGAAACATGGTAGATCACGTATACGCAATGATACGCGTATACTGTTACTATATGCACTATACACGCATAAATATGAAAAAACATAAAACATGAATGAGAACGTAATCATATACACGTACACATATATACACTTTAATATTTTCACCATAAGAAGGAATACATCTGATAAGACGTAATAATATATGCGCACATAATAGATATACATATATATATATATATATATATATATATATATATAAGATACACTTATATAGAAATTAAAGAATAATACACGAAAATAATTCTCGAATGCATCCATCCTTCGTAATCACTAACAATAAGGACACGTAAAACGAAGATATATGTAATAGGCAACCACGTGCAAAGGGACGCAACGAAACGCGCATGCGCGTATTTTGAGGCGGGAAGTGCGCGTGAACGTTCGTAGAATACGAAACATGGTAGATCACGTATACGCAATGATACGCGTATACTGTTACTATATGCACTATACACGCATAAATATGAAAAAACATAAAACATGAATGAGAACGTAATCATATACACGTACACATATATACACTTTAATATTTTCACCATAAGAAGGAATACATCTGATAAACTCTATACATAAGACCGGTTGATTACCTTTCCTTGCGAAGCCACTGTCACCGACTGTCGAAATTCCAGGGAGCGGATGCAAAAGAATAGGCCGGAGCGAAACGCGCGCGTGTTCGTGATCGCGTCGTACGCGTGTACTAAGACGGTACGCGCGATGTGACCGAGAGTAAGCGCGATCAGTGTATCCCGTCGGGTGTGCACGGCTTCCATCGGTCACCGATAACGACCGAATGCCAGATTGGTCCGTCTCGAGCTCACAGGATCGTCCCGTTGGATATACGTTTCGACTCACGGCGCCTGATGATCTGCTGGCAGCACGAAGCGTGACGTAATATACATAGAAAGTTACAATTGTATGGAATTCGAAAATTCTTTACAAGTTTCACAGTGATCGCGACGATTAGTGTTTCCGTAGATCTTGATCCCTTTTGCAAGATTAATCGTTAAATTCTTTACAGAATATATTAAGATATATTCTTGTCATCGAAACTGGTTCGCGAAGGATAAAAGAAATTCTTTCAATCGTTTAAGCCATAAATAGTTGATCGCCTACTGACGACATACTACTCGAAAATTACAATCGATTCTCATCGAGATAGATCGAGACATCCACGATTCCCGTTTCGTTCGATCGAGAATCAAAATCGATATAGACCACCCTCCGGCTATGAAAAGATCGAACGGTTGCACGTAGTAACGGTATGGAATCGCAGTTTGTACGGTCAACACGCGCGTCGCGAGTTCCGACGATTGTCGATAAGAACTCTGGAGGCGACTGTCCGATAACCCGTTCCAGTAGAGATTGTGTGACCACAGAACCACTTGACAACTCGTTTCGACGTTTCCAACCATAAGACTGTGATAGTGAGCTCGATGACGTAATTAGCGGGGAAAAGAATTACTATCAAAATGTCCAGACACAGGTGAACACCGTTATTAATCCATCAATTTAACCGCAACTTACACGTGTCTTTGTTCCTTTCCTTTTCCGTAGTTATGTGCAACGATGTTTAAAAGCCCATTATGATTGCTTTGATTCATAGTATTTAGAAAATGTTAATTAAGCATACATTTTACTTTATGTATTATTGTTTCGATCGAATGTATTTTGAATATATTTATATTATTGCGATACGATTATATAATTTTGTATAATTTGATGATAATCTGTCAATTAATAAATTAGTTAATTAAAACTGCTTCGCGTAAAATTTGTTATAAAACACTATATAAGTTTTGCTAATTCCCGCGTGAAAAAAGGCGGCATTGTCCAACCATGACTACACGTGTCTATGAAATGCAATGTCGCACGTGGCGCAACTCACATGGCGCTGAAATAAACACCAGCTTCTTTTTTTTTCTTGATCCATATTCATTTCAACTAATAATAAAACATATTTAATCTTTTCAATAATCGTTTCCGTCGATTGTTTCTGCCACAAATTCGATCATGAAACTTGTAAAATAAGTTTCTTTTACAGAAATCTATTTATTCCGAAATTTTGATTTTTAACGGTTGATCATTGCAATCTATTGCAACTAATCATTCTTCCACAATATTTTTACTCAGATAAATTTCACAGAAACGAAAGATAATCCACTATGAATCCCAAGTATCATCGAGCAAATTCACTCACGTATGCGTCATGATCGTTGTCAACGAAGCTTGAACTTCGGTGTCACATTCACGTTGCACGCAGCCTGGTGTCGTCTGTTTCGTCTGAAGAAAAAGTGAACAGACCAAAGGGGCAAATGCCATAAAAGTTAATGGAGTAGTGAAGTTTGAGGGTCGTGTGAAAGAGATAAAAAAGAAGAAAGAAAGGGAAGGAGGGAAAAAAGAAAAAAAGAGAAAAACAAGGAGGAGGCTAAAGGCACGCGATAAACTATTGGAAAAAGCACGAGGTAATCGCGATAAATAACAACGAATCACTTGCAATTCTCACGCGACAGAAAGAAATGGAGGCGGTAAACCTCCTCTCTGTTTCCTACGTTTAGTCCCTCCTGTTACACAGTGGTGCTTAAACGAAAGTGTAAGTTTACTTAAGGTAGGTCGCGCCAAGAATATACGCCTATCGCGCGACGAACTCTCATTCCATTCGTTCCGAGGGAGGTAGAAAACGACATCAATAGACGATATCGAATGATTTAAAAAATTTCAAAAATTTGTGTCTGATGTACAAATAAAAACTCGTATTCCATAGAAATAAAAATTAAGTAGAAAAACATTTTCATAATTTTGTACTTGCTACACGAGCTTTCAGATTTTTCGGTATATTTGGCCTTTCACTTTAATTTGACCACCATTAATAATTAAATGTTTTTTCGTATCTTCAAACGTCTTATCGTTATCTATATTAAATATTATTTATATGTCAATTTAATAATTTCAGTGATTTAGGCTTATTTATTTATATATTTTTTTTAATACTAACAATAATTACATGCAAATTTTCAATGACAACATTTAATAAGAATTATATAAGAATTATTAGAATTATAATGATAAAAATATATAATAATAAAATATATTTATAATATATTTTCGTAAAGTTGAATCAAAGAATCAAAAAGAAGTTGAAAGATTAAAAGGTTCTACACCGATAAATCGTCGTTGGTAATTGGCCGATGTAACAATAATATAAACTAATTGACATATTACAATATTTTATTGCTAATAATTTACCGCGTGCTCGTGATTTACATGCAGCAAGAAAAATATTATGAAAACGTAGTTTGTAAACCAAAACGATATGATTTTAAAAAAAGCAAAATGGCGCCAATGCGCATGTGTATATTCATTTGAGTGCATTCGTGGGAAATATAGGGAAATACATATTATTAATAAATAAACAAGCAACGCAATATTTCAGTAATAAAAATTCATAATTCCTCTTCAATTTCAATAAACGTCACCTAATACATTTGTCCTTCTTTGTACCATAGCATATATACTTCACTTTTTTTTCTTTTATTGTTTTTCTTTTAACATATGCACAGGATTAAGTCGTGCGCACGTGTGTTGATACGCTCATGTGTATATGTAAGTACGCATATGTATGCCTCTATTATGCACACACGACATAACACATGCTTCGTGTATCTCTACTAGAAACCCGCCTATTCCTCCTAACATACATACATACGAACATGCGCATGCGAAATGTCACATGAACACGCGCGTCGATAATATATACTCTATATTTGTGTATAATAAGTGTTACTGTAACACTTTTGTCGCGACGACACGCGTGCACACGTATACACTTCCGACTGAATAACATGTATACATTATATTTCAATTCAAATCACAAAAACACGGTCTTTCTGCACGACAATTATGAGAATAAAAATAAGTGTCGTAATAGTTGTACTAATTAATATAGTGTAATAGTAATATTAATGGTAATAGTGATAGCAGTAGCAGTGATAATAGCACTGTTGGTATATTTTTTCTTATTGATAGTAACGGTTCTTTTTTTTTTTGTTATCCAAGTCTTACGCATATCGATAACTAATCACCGTAATTGGTTTACCAATAAACGCCATATATACAATGTACATACAAGTTTAACATTTGTTGTATGCCGTTTAACAAGATTTACAATTTTTTTTTTCATTCATCATGTATATATAAATATATAAATTTATATAACAAAAAAAAATACATATATATCTATATATAGATTTATATATTTATACGGATCATAGGCATGTATGCGATTGTAAATAAAAAGTATTATATATAAATGAATAACATTTTGTCTATTCGTGATAATCAATATTTAATTAATATATAGTGTGACACGACAAACTATAACTTTGCCGAAAGTCGCGTCGAACAACACGTGTATTAGTCGAGAATTAGTTTGTGTTAATTAATATGCTTCAATTATTTCACATTTTTTCCCGACAGTCAATTCTGTTAACTAAAGAATTAATTTACACAAACTAGATGCATAAGACGAAATGTTTTCTTTATACATTCAATGAAATAAACATTCTAGTTGAATCATTAATATATTAATTAATTTCTATCTAATAGCATGTTAATTATTCATAATCAATACATTAATACAAGGACACATGTCCTAAAACAGAAATTATATATTTACTATTTGCCTAGTTTTTTCGGAATTCGTTATACTATTTTACAATTGCCTATATAATTATTTACAATTTTTTCCGCAATAGCGAATTTATCTGTATGTCAACTAATCCACATTTTTTAATCTATAATATGTATATACATTTGTTGTGTATGCAAGAAAAATATCTCTCTGAATGTAATTTAATTGGAATTGTATCTTTGGATTGCGACCAAAAATAGATTTAAGTAATATATTGTAGATGTATTCTCGATTAAGAATGGTCAATCATTGCGTGAATTATCCATGTAATATATATAACATTAAAAGTCAAATGCGATATTCACTAACATAAATAATACGAAAAATCGACATAGTATAGCAAACTTTCTTTCGTTGTTTTCGATACGTAAATTTTAGGTCAAAAATATAATACGAGTAAATATTGCTAGAAAGTACTCTAATAGATATAAATGAGCACAAAGAAGAGAGCTATTCGTAAAAAATGAAAATTGACCATCCTTACTCTAAATTAATATTTATCATTTGTTTGTGATGATTAATAATATCATTTCAATATTATTCGATATGCAAGTGCAAAAGCATTTTTTTCACTTTTTCAATATTTTTTATACTGATCATTCTATACTGATTAAGTTAATAAATTTTTCTATCTATCATCTACTATTGACATAGGCAAATGAAATTCTCCACCTGATGGTATTTTTTACATTGTTATGTGTTTATATATATATGTATATTTATATTTATATATTAGAGTTTCATAAAAAAAATTAGATACAATTGCAAAATTCTAAATACGTTAAAAATACCATCAGGTACTCATTAATTTGTGCTTTAGCATTAAAATGTATAACGAAGAAGTACTTTTTTCAGACCTTTTGAAGCAGCAGCCCTATCACAGTATGGCTCGGAGATGAAGGCTTTTTTTTCTCCTTATACAGATCAGATTTTATAAAACAGATTCTATTTGTTTAATTCCTTTTCAGGAGGTTCTTGCGGAGATGGCGCAGTTTCTACAATTTCAGGAATATCTTCTTCATTTTCTTCTTCAATATCTTCATCAATTGGAGTCAATGTATCTAATATCACAGGCTGAGTCTGTAATAAATTTTGTTCTTTGTTAATTTTAAATAGTTTAAAAATAATATTTAATATATGTATATTTACTTATTATATTTACCTGTGGCGTTGTACAGCGTTTCATTGCTGGAGCCATGAAACTAGTAACTGTACTTACAAAGAAGAAAAATCCTGCCATAAAAAATGGGATGCTATAGCTTTGCGTTGCGTCATAAACAGCACCAGCTAAAGGTGAACCAATGATAGCTGCTGCTCCTCTAAATAAGATTAAGAGGCCAAATGCATTGGTCAATTTGTCCAATCCCAAAAGGTCTACCAAAATAATTGACGTCAAAGAAATATATCCAGCTGAAATATTATGAAAACAAATATATAATATCAAGATAAAAAATTAGATCTAAAATAAAATTTATTAATTTCAATACTTACATATAGCTATTCCAAATAGAATGCTCATAATAATATAAGCAGGATACGAATGACAAAACGGAATTGCAGCCACAGCAACTGTTGATATAATTAAGCAGATATTATTCAACAATAGTGAATCCACTTGTGGAAAATCCGCAATGTATCCACAAGCTACACGACCCAGAGTATTGGTAATTCCAATAATAGATACTAAATATGATGCAAGAGTCTTGTCAATATTCTAAAAATGATATGATTGAAAAATTGATATATATGATTACAAAAATGTAGGTGAAAAAAGAAATTATTATAATTTTTAACTTACATCTAAGACTGCAGCATCTAATAAATATACAAAAGGGACGTATAAACCAGCCATTCCAAATACATTACTAATACCAATTAAAAGAAATACTGGGTCCTTTAGCAAAGATACATCCATCATAGTTGCCAGAGCTTCTTTGAACGAATCAGGTAATACCAAACAAGGACATAGAGGTTCTGTAACATTTACTGTTTTAATATAAAAATTTATAAATCGTTGTATATTTATTTTTGATAAATTTCTTACGCTCGCGCGCCTTTTCAATGTCGGTGTCTTTAATATCTCCACGAACGGATTTTGATAAAGAAATAACACTTTGACGATAATTTGCAAGTGATTTTTGACTTTGATATTCTGGTAAGTTAACAACACTACCACTATAAAAAATATCCTTTCTTGATAGTGGTCGAATTATCTGTGGTTTTTCTTTTGGAATACTAGTCTTACTGGTGGTAAAAGTAATACTTTCACCATCCTATAAAATATATATTGTTTATAATTTACATAATATTTTTTTAAAATTAAGTATGCGTTCGAAAAAGTATGATAAAACACGTACATCTATTTCCGCATTATTATTCCGAGAACCCATAACACTGCTTGTTGAAAGTCTCAAATGCAAACTTTTTCTAATATCGCCATTAGAATTCAATGTTGTTCTAGAATTCTTAATAGCACTAAGACTTGGTTTATATCTTTCACCAGTACTTGTTTTGCGGATTCTATCAAAAAAGGGTACAGAACCATTTTTAGGTAAACCTTGTACATGAGTTGTAAAAGCAGGTTGTGAAGCATTTCTAGGAATTATTGGTTTGAATTCGCTTTCAGACTTCTCTGTTATATCTTTGGTATCATCAATATTTTTTCTACTCTTTGATTTGGTGGAAATGTTTTTTAAGTCCATGCTGCCACTATTACTAGTTGCTCCACTAGAAGAATGTTCTTGTACTTTCACTTCTGATATAGTGGGAAGAGTTGGTACCGTTGGAACTGGTGTTAAAGGAGTTCCTTTAATATTAAAATAAAATATATTATAAAATATATTCAGTTAACAATATTAATTTTAACTCATATCTTCTTACCAGGCACTAATTGGTCTAAATTGAAACTGGAATGAACACCAGGATCAATATTAATAGGCATTTTCATTCTCTTTTCCATAGATCCATCAGGCAGTTGTACCATGAAATAAGAACCCCCAATACTCCCACGTTCCATTTGAAATCTTTTCTCCTCTGCCATTCTTTGTAACAATGGTTTAACAGAAGAAGCTTTTGGATATTCTAATGGCCTCATCATTGCACCAAATACCTGTAATGTTCACCTATTGTTATCATCAAATCTATGTTCTATAATTTCTTAGAAAACTCATAGATATTACTTACAGCACAATTTAAAATAAGACCTGCAAGAATTAAATTTGCTCCTTTCCAATTATATGCTTCTAATAACATTGTTGCAAGAGGTGCAAATGCAAATGTGCCAAATCCTGAACCACATACAGCAATACCTGTAGCTAATGATCTTTTGGTTTCAAAATAATAACCTACACAAACTACTGCTGGTAAATATATTAGACCAAATCCAATTCCTGAAACAATGTAATTATTATATATCCAATCTATTAAAAAATAACTTATAATTTAATATATTTAAAATCTAAAATATTTAACACACACCTCCCATAACACCATAAGTTACCATAAGCATATTTACACTGGTTGAAAATGTTGAAAGTACAAATGCTGCTGCACCTAAAAAACTTCCTGCCATACATACTGCTCTACATCCATACTTATTTGTTAAAGCACTGACAATAGGTCCTGGAAAATATAACATTTAAAACTAATATATTACTATTACATAAAAAAAAGATATTATTTTATAATAAAAAAATTTACCAGCACTGAGGTACATGCCAGATAACAATGAACCAACCCACGCAGTCTTGCCTTTTCCTTCTCCAAAATATGTAACAAATTCTCCCAGAAAAACACCAAATGTATAAGCGATACCATCAACTATCATATTACACATGAATGATGCAAATACCACCACCCATCCATATCCACCATCTGGTGGGGGTGGTATGTCATGGTATTCACATAATGATCCTCCTTCATCTTCTGGAGATGCTTCATCACTAGCTCCATCAGTAGCAGTTAATTTTGCATGCTCTTCTACAGAATATTCACTTTCCGTCTGTAAAAAATATAAATATTTTCATCAGTTGATCAGTTGAATGATAATATATAGATATATGAATTAGATATTATATTCTCTAACATTATTTAATATATTATATATTAAAGATAATAAGAATCAATGTTTCAGATTCATCTATTATTAAAAAATTTGAATATTTGTTGGATCTTGTAACATTATAACATTGTAACGTTAATATTTGTTGTATTTGTCTTGTATAAAGTAATGCTAGTTCACCTTGTAGAATATAAGAAAACTATCAAGTACCTTCCTTTCATATTAATATGTAAATATATAGACAGATCATTCTATATGTATTTGATTAATAAATTAAATAAGAATTTTTAAAAATTTCAAAAAGTCATACATTTAATAAAAAATTATTTTTATACATCTTTCTCCAATGAAAATAGAAATTTAATAAAATTATAATGATGAAATTAAATAAGACAAGAACGCAATTCCGGAAGACATCTTTTGGAGCGTAATGTGAGAACGAGTGGTCGTGCCATATTATAAGATGATCTCATAACGCAAACGCAAGCATAGATATTATATGGCTACTGTGACTTAACCATTCCCTAAGGCTACGTTTATCCAAGGTAAAATAGTGTTTCCTCTGAATCTAATAAATAAGAAACGATATTGATCACGCGATAAAAATGACTGTGCTTCACAAAAATTCAATGTATATCTCTTTAATACTTTTTTAACATAATATTTTAAGGATATTAATAAATTCAAAAAAAAAAAAAATCGTACAAGAAAATATACTTCCATGCCTTCTTGAATTTGAACATATTTTGTATAATCGTAAACGAAAAAATCCCGAAGTAAGGGATTTTTTTTATAAATATTTTAGAAATAAAAGAGTTCGTACAATGACCTAACTGCCAACATATTAAATGAATTCAAATATAGCGCTAAGACATACGAAAGCATCGATAGTGACTCGATAGTGACTTAGCCGAATGGAAGGTCAGCCGAATCAGCTGATCTACTGTCATTAGAATTGGTAAAACGTGCGCCACCTAACGTCAAGGCAAAGAAAACTTGACAAGAGTATTGTTTTCGACCTTGTTTTCGTGACGGTGGTGTCACATTTGCAACGAGTGCAAATTGTGCACACAAGTACGCAGTGATACACGACTGTGCTGACGATATATACAAATGCGTGTATGGTGTTTCGTGTTTGTTAGAAACTGCTACAAAAGTGTAAATTACATTTATCAAGGCTAAGTCACGTGTTGTTCCTGAACACGTACGAAGAAACTATAAAGAAAAGCGAAACGAGATAGTGCCTTAAAATTCGAGGCGAATCAGATCACCCAAAAATGAAGACAAGAAACGCTTAAATACACGCATATTACCAAATAGAGACGAATTTTCGAAACGTACCGTACTGATCTTCCGCACGCGACGCGAGCCGTATTGGCTGTACTGCGACTTGTTGAGCGACACGCGCGACATTCTATGATCGCTTTAATGTCAGACTCCGTTCGTTTCGTCGTTGGCCTCCACACACTGTGCAGAGTTCTATTTTCGTAGAAGTGCGCGCAGCTGCGCGCGCTGTATATTCTTTCTTTCCGTGACTTTATCCCTCAAAGTTTGCCACGCTACGCCACTTCCGCGCAATTTAACACTCCCCCTGTTAGCAAATAACAGGAGTAGCAATATCAATCATCAAAATCCGCTGCCATGTCTTTTACACTCGCGCGCTTCGAGTTAACTTCTATCATACGACCATCGCACGCTCACTGCCTTGTATGTAATATGGATCAACTGAACTTAAAAAACGTGCGCAGTAACTTTTCTAAAAAAGTACACTTTTGTGAAGAAATTAAGAATATATGTTGCTTTATTCCTCTTTGCAACACCCGATAACGATACACGTACACAAAGTAATGTGTCTTAATAAATTCAGTTCATCGATAAGATCCAGCCATAAGATTCGGATGCACACAAATGAAGTGGCACTATACACCTAAAATGATTCAGCTCGCGCAAATTGTCATGACAAGTTTGCCGGCAAAAACGATTGGTTTTGCTATTGGACGTATTATTGCTACGTATCACTACGCACTACAGAGATTCTATTTATATACAAACGGTAGTAGAGCCTTCTTCAAATTTCCATGTACAAAATAACTTTATTTTTTATATGCACAATATTTTTTCTCCTGTCATTGTGTCTTGTAATCTTTGTATAGTGCAAGAATAATGCTGAATGAACGAAACAACATGCAACGATGTGTCAATAATGTAATCACAGCGTTTTGGTGATTGCGAATGTATGTGCGAATACACTATGTTTATTACTATTATATTTTACGTGATCCTAAGATATACAAATGACTAAACTACACGGATCTTCGTGAGAATTTAAGTACCCGCTGAACAAAAGAACTGCTTGCGACAACGAGAGAGCACGGAGCTCTCGTTGAAGCGGCACTGATCGTTTGTGCGCGAAAAGTTAACCTATAAATGCGAAGCGTCTCATGCGTCCCCACCCTATCACAATTACGTGGCGCGACAACCAGACGATTTGCGAATTTGCTGAATCAAGATTTTAAAAAATATTTTAAATTTTTATATGTATATTTTTTTAATTATTTTAATTAATATAAAGTAGAACTTCAAGAAAAGAAAATCGATCTAAATTTTCAATGATTATTTCCATAGATATTTTTAACATTTGTAACAATTTTCGATACGAAATCATTTACTTAAAGTACTTTGTTTTTACAAAAGTATTATATAAAGCTATAAAGTATCAAGAAACTTAAATTATGATACAATTCGAATTAGTTATACTATATATATTTTTAATAATTTTAATAATTTTTATACAGATATCGAAAATATTGTCCTTAAAAGAATATTAAGAAAATAAAATTTTAGATAAATTATTATACAAATTAAATTTATTTTTTTTATCTTAAATAGATGTTCAACAAGTTTAAAATGTTTTTGTTAAAAAACTACATTTTTAAGAATAAATTTATGACAATTTATGATAATAAAAATTAAACCAAAAAATTAAATTATACGAATAAAAAAAAAACTTGCTCAATGCTTTATTTAATTCAAAATATAATTGTTATAGACAAAGAAGCACAAAAATAAGCAACTTCATAACACTCGTCTTCACACAAAACCAAAAATTTTTTAGTGTCGTTTGTATCCGTTTAACGAATCAATAATTGTATCAAGGGTTACTTCGTGTATTATGGGAGATATTGCACCGATTGACCAATACATTGCAGCTCAATGTCACTCGACTCTGTTCAGCATAGATGATTCACATTTGACTGGTATAATAGTATAGAGATCGACAAGTTATTTATTCTAACGTGCAATTATAGCAGCAACTTGAACTTACGTTTAATATTTCGACATATCGTTCCGCGTTAGCCATTAGTCCGATGCACGCGCGTTGTAGTTTTTTTTTTTTAATATCACGGGATAGAGACAAATCCACCTCAACCGTTTATGCAATTTTTAGAGTTTCGAAACGTTACCTCACTAAACAAATATTTGCTGGCAACGCTCTCGTACTTCAGGAAGAAAGTGACAGTTCCCGGTGGTGTATTGCTATCAGGTGGCTTCGAGAAATCATGTTCATGGTCGAACGGCTAAATAATCGTACGCGAAACATTGTATATCGTAAAGTGACCATCATATAGTAGCGTGACGCGCGCACTAATAATCTAAGTCGATGCTTACACTACCATGAAATTAATCTTGCACGCGAATGAAGGTTACCAAATATATCATACTATCGAGATTACCGATACATAGAATCGCGGTTAATCGATTGCCATTTAATGATGGCCGTCACGACGAAAATCACCAAACGATCGAATTACAGCGATATGAACGATAGCTGGCGAAAGGGGGCGGGGCGCTGAAGCAGGAGGGCACTAAGTAAACATTCTGAAGATGATCTCGAGTCGATATGTAACAGTGGTGGAAACACTCAAAGAATCAGCACCGATAAAAGGGATAGGTAGACGAGAGGAGAATGGTACCACTGGTATGTAATGTCGATCACGCGAGAGTTACTACTGCAACACGCTGCATTCCACTGATGCTTTGCTCATCTGCTCGAGCACGTTTATGAATTAATTAGATAATAACTAGCGACAATTAATGTTGAAGGCACGACATATGAAAACACCATCTGCTTTTGATCTCCGCACAAAAATTAACCAACAGGAATAATTAGATAATATTGTTCTATGAAACAAAATCAGTACGTTTAAATAAGAATTTTTTTGTCTCAATTTGAATTTGATAGATAAGTATCAAATTTTTTTTTTTGTATTTTCGATTAGTATTTTCAATGAAATGATATAGATATATATATATATATGCAGGCGTAAACAAAATTCATAATTTATAGTAACCATGAGAACATCTGGTTCTTGTTTTCTTAGAAATATCAGCGGCAACAGTGCTTTAAAATGACTCAGAAATCGTAAACAAGAACTACATCATGATATTTTCTTGATTTGTAACAGATCATTGTTTATGACGATGTTAGTCTCTTCTTCATTGTCCCAGTTTGCTTAGGACCGCGAGATATCAGGAGTCGTGATAAAAGTATGAATATAATCAGGAAAGGAAGAGCAACATTCTCCCTGCTTCGATGAATCACATTGTGTGAGTAATTATTTTAAATTATAATCTTACCAAATTGTTGAATTGATGATACTTTTTTTTTATTCGCTTGTAGTATTATAATAAAACAGAAAAATTCAAAAAAGAAAATAGAACCACACAATTGCAAGTTTGAAAAATCTAATAAATTATTATTTAAAATCAAGTGATTCAATCTAATCAAATCGGTTTAAAGGAATTAGGAAAATTCACTACCATTTGTAATCACTGTGATTAATCGTCTATTTATTCTATTCATGATTCGCAGTCAATCAGTTCAATCGACTTCATTAATTATATTATTAATTTATAATGAAGGTTAAGTGTCCCAAAATTCATTTCTTATTTATCGAAATTTGTTTGCGTTAATGATATCTAAATAAGAGTCTTTGATGAAAACAATCAAATTTATAGGTATTCCTACTTACGATTTAATATCTATCGACCGAATAGCCGAAGGATAAGGGAAATACTCGACATCGATACAGAACGATAACGAATTCAACAAACACTTAAAAGATAAGATTTTCTCGCGTAATACATCTTAATCCATGGCTCGACATCAATCCATAAACTGGCACGTGATATAGTCTATATAGAGGTACATAATACAAAAAAATAATAACATTCATGACTCCACCCAAATTGCAAAATTTCGTATGCAAAATTTATTCCTTATAATGTTACCAACGATATATTGATGAACTGTTTGCAAGCATTATCGTTGTTCCAACTAGGTAATACAAACCACTTTCACTTGTGCATTTCGTGATTAATTTGATTATGTCTTATATTTTATCACTCAATTTATAATTTTCTATAATATGTAGAAATCATAATTAATAATATTTGTCAAAAATAGCGTGCCATGAAAATTACCAATAAAATTCTTGTACACGTGCGCAAAAAAAAACATGTTTATCAATTGAAAATATTTCGTTATCAATAAATTAAATTTTTATTAAACCAATGAAACAATGGATTGCCGTTATTCAATCTTTTTGAAGTCAACTCATGTGGTAATATATCGATGAAATAGATCATACAAGGAGGGTTGTAATCATTGTCAACATCATAATTTCAATATAAACACGATTTAACTTTTACTATATTACTTTATTTATCTTAACGTGCGATTTTAACGACATGAAGCGATGTTTTTAGTTAAGAGTAACAAAATAAAACGAACATGATAAGGTAAAAATTTTTATAGACTATTATTTGATTAGAAAATCTATTTTACATACCTTATTTTTAGGCGACATCACACGATATTGACAGCAATTGATGTTTTATTTAAATAAAGATGAATACACCCTCACGTAAATGAGAAAATGAATAAGAAGGAGGGAAAAAGAGATGGCTGTACTCGTGCCACCTGAGTGGACAGTGTCCAGCTGTGGAACGAGAAAGAAGCGATATGAAAATGCGCGCTGCTCAACCACCGGCTGACTTATCGCATCGCAGTCGGTTGAGTCCATCCAATTCCCCACTCTATGAAATCCATCTCACTTCATTTCCCTTGCCAACTCTTCTTCATGTATTCTATCGTTTCGATTTGCTCATGTTTCTCTCTTTGTTTTACGATTTCTCTTTCTATATTCTTATCCTTTTCTTCTTCTCTTTGTTACACAAAACCGACCGTCTTCTTTCTGCTACAGATTTCCACGCAGACATCACTCATGCAATGCAATATCGCGCGCGCGGAAATAAAACGCGCGGCTACTGATCTATCGATAAGTACAAAGTTCTAACTGTGTGTACACCCAGATATTTCAAATATGCACAAGATATCACTATTGGATGAAGATCTTTCAAACATTGGACGTAACATAAGCTAGCAAGATAATACTAATGAAACATATACAATTTAATAAATAAGAGAATAATCAAGGAAAAAAAAAAGTTAAGTGTTAAAAAGAATCAGAAAAAATTTCAAACTTCGTTTACGAAATTCAATACGATTGGACAGAAATTATTTTCTAAATTAAACAGTTTTTATATTAAACAATGTTTCATCATGAAAGCAGTCCTAACGCAGATACGCAGATTTCTGTTTTATGACGAAAATAGAGTAGCATATCATAGTGTTCAATTTACCTATTTCACATTAACTATTTCAGATACTACAATTCAATAAAATTTTTCTTATGATTTTTCCATTACTATACGTTACTATGAAAATATAAACTGAAATATTATGAAATAAAAATTATAAAAATCGAAAATAAAATTAAAAAACAAAAACGGTTTTAACTTTTAACTTATATTAATAGAAGAGAAAAGCAAAATAAGAAATGAAAAAACTTACGATGTGATTAACCATAGGTTTTGGCTTGATTTGCAGACCATCATCGTCGCCGATCTGCTCCCCAATCTGTTCGCGGCTACTGGTAGGTCCCATCTCGGCGCCGCGGCGCCTACCTTAGACTCGGTTGTCACTATCTTCAACGGATTGAAACAGCCACAGCTTCGTGATCCTATGTTCCTCGTGTACGAGGAACGATGCGAAAATAAAATAATCACCAGTCGGATGACACCTTGTCCGGGCAGTCCGCTGCGCCCCCTTTCGATTTATAAGCTCTCCATTGGCGATACATGAACAATCCTGGAAGTCGTAGCTGCTCGATGACAGCTTCTTCCGGAATATTTTTCTCTTTATTTCTTTTCTCCGACTTCTCTTTCTTTCACTTCCTCGATGTTACAATACACTACGATACTCGAAGATGAAAGAAACAAATCTTCTTAAAAATTGAACATTTATCAAAGGATAATAAATTGCTCCTTTGGTGCTAGCACGTCGATGATACGTCGGTTTCTTTTTTTGGTGTTCTCGTTACGACCAATTCGGTGAAATCGCGACACGACTGCCACCACCGGCACCAATTTCAGATTATTAGAACCCTTAATAACAACGAGGACGTTGCTTACACCCCGCGCACGACCTAGTCCACGAAATTTCGATCCACCTTTTCAGGAATCTATTATGTGCTGCCTCTCCGACCTGCTTCTTTTCTAATCGTTCGCATTCCAGTGTGATGATAGTAAGAAAAAATTAATAATGATGCTATCACCGTTGTCGCAGCCGTTCGAGTGAGTATATTTACGATGCAGATAACGGAGAACGGATGAAAATCTTGTTGAAGAGAATTTTCTTGCAGACGATCCCGCCGCGGGTGGGTAGCGCCGCGGCGCCCCGGGATCAATAAAACGACCGCCCGGCCGTCGCCTTTCCTAGGTCCTGCCTGCCTGCCTGCCGTGATCTCCCGTTTACGCGACGCTGGACGTCGCGACGCGTACCCCCTCTACTCTTCACACCGCGGCCGCTGAACGCGCCGAATGTATGCATTAGACGCAAGCGCGATCTCTTGTCGCGCACGCCCCCACATGGTCTCTCCCCACGAGCTTGCGCAGCATGATTATCGACGCGATAGTTTGTCGGTATTGCGTGCACTATATGTAACCCTTTCGTCCCAATCTTCCTCCTGTTCCTTCGAGATTCCTATCTCCTTATACGGGACAACAAAACATACAGATTTCTCAGAGTTATTATTTCTATTAATGTCGCGGTTTTTTCATTCCTCGCGAGAGTCAATGAACATAACTTTTACTATTGTGAATCATGAATCACTTTTGTTTCATTATAATGATTCATAAAAAGGATAGAAATATTTTAATTTTTCCCTTAGTCAAATTAGATTTTTATTTTAATGTTTGCTATAATTTATTTACAGACATATAGCACAAACTACTTGCTATATATATCAATCTTGTGATATATTAGTAGAAAAGTATAGAAAAATAGCTAGACTGTAATTTAAGGTAATATAATTATGCTATTTATTAGTACAGAGAGACTGTTTGCAACTGCAAAATGCACTCGTATACATATGTTTTGTTGGCTTTGCAATTCAGAAATAAGATACTGCAGTATTGTCGCAACCTTCGAAGTTGAAGGTCGCCGATGTTCAATGAAAACGAGTATATTTGTTATGTATTTGCAGTGCATCCTTCTGTTGATGTAGTTTATATATCAATTATGTATGTTAAATGAAACATATTATAATTCCTTCAAATCTTTAATTAAAAGGGAAAAATAGTTTAAGTTAAGATATAAAATAATAAATTATTAAAAGTTATTTAAACTTAAAATTAAAAATATTAAAAAGTTTTGGAAGAATTGATTTAATTACTTAGAAAATATTTTTACGCTCGATTATGTTTTATTTAATCGTATACGTAATTGATTTCGTACTATTCCGTATTATTCCGTATTATTCCACACAATTGCTTTTATTTTGTAGCTGCATAAGGCAGATCGATATTCGACAGTTCTCAAACTAGTCACGAATATATTCCAAAGATATTCTGATGTTTGATAATATCAATTGCAAAAATAGACGTTTATACTTTGTAGCGAAAACGCAAACCGAACTTCATTCGAATATTTTAATTCTTGTTAATCTAGAAGATTAGCAACATGAACAAAATTCCTTTCTTATAAACAAATTTCAATCCAGTTTATCCAGTAAGAAAGAAAATCGAGATAGTCACGCGTTTAACTCAAACGGATAAATTTCTGCGAATCCCGCAATTGTTTTATCACTTGTTTCGCAACTGTACTCATTTCATTTTTATTCGAAGTTGCAATATCTTCTATTTTACTAATCGGTAGAGTAGTAATCAAGTCTTGAATGTATTTAGGATTAGTCAGGCCATATGTCATTGATTGTAACACGCGCAGACATAGAAATTGTGTTTCATCTGGTAATGAATTGTTTTTCAAGTAACAATTTAACACGTCGCCTACTCGTGATTCGAAGAGATGCTGTAAGCCGGTTTTATTCATACTGACGTTATAGAATATCATCAACATCAATCTATATAGGAACACAATATTCGATTCGATTAGGAATATCAAAAATTAACAATATCAATCATTCGATATTCATAGATAGAATTACCTTTTTAGAGATAGAGAACCTTGCGAAAGTGGCAAGGTGGGCATAAGTTTCACCATTTTTTGTACTAAAGCTCTACCATTCGAATCAGTGATTAAAAATTCACGTCCCTCAGGTGTTGCAGATATGTTAGTCACGATGCCTAACAATCCAATTATAAATTGATATTCGACATTGCAAGTAGGGGGAAAAGCGTTTTGATAAGTGTTTATAAATGCGACGAAACTTCCGTCCGTTATCGATAAAAATTCACCGATCATATGCTGAAACTATATAGAGCAATCAGTGCAATACTATACTATTCTCTAAATACTATATTATTTGAATTATTTTTGAAAATAGAAATATTTACCCCGGAAAGCCAAACGTCGACAATTTCTGGAAGTCGAGATGCGCGCCATGTTAAATTACCCAAAACTGCCCCTAAAGTTGCACAGTATGTACTTTGATTCAATATCTATGAAAGATATATAAATAAAAATATTTATTTATTCTAAATACAAAAATATTTCATGTTAAATTATTGATTAATTAAATTATTAATTAATTAATAATTAAATTAATTATTAAATTAATTATTAAATTATTGTTAACTTGTTCTCTTAAATATTCTATTTCTTCTTGAGCTTTTTTGTTTTTATCTATTTGTTGTTGCAATTGGCTGTGTAACTGTTCACATTTAAGCTCTAAAACTGAAATTTTTTCTTTTTCCTCTAAAAATAATAAAAATATTAATTAATAATATGTTGTAGTTTATTAAAAAAAAATAATAATAATAATAAGAGAATACCTTTATTTATTTCATCGGTTAATGATTTCGGAAATAAAGAAACGAGATCTTTTTGACCATCATCTATGTTTAATTTATCTAAGTCTATATCTAATCCAGAATTAACGAGCGTTTGCGGAACATCTTTTATAAATTTATGGATATTTTTTTCTACTGTGTTTAGGGTGTCTTCCACAGAAATCTAAAAAATTATACATTTATACGAATATATAAGACTTTCTTTTTGCGTCATTTCCGATTTTTTTTTATATTCTAAAAATCACAAGATATAAAATGAACAATGTTAATCATTTTTTATACATTAAACAAATATGAATACCAAAAATTGTTTTTCGTCTTCTAAATTTGTTTGTTCTTCTTGGGCATTCTTGTCCATGTTTGTTCAATTAAATTTTATATTGATACAAGTAATTTCCTTGTATATTTAGCGAATTGATATTTTGAATATTTTTAACATGTTGACAATTATCGTAACCTACATGAAATATAGATTATGATGTGAAGATGTGAAAATTTATATATCATAAAAAGACAATTTCGAATATATTATAATTATACAGATTATATTTATTTGTTTTTTTTAATAACTAATTGTTTATTTACTTACAAATTATTTTTAATTATATTCTTCTTTTCGTATAAATCACGAAAAAATTAAAATCTTATTTCTTTAATTATAATTTCCATAAAAAAAAAGACAAAAAACATAATATTACTATTTTCAGTCAACATCTAATAAATAATAATGTTAGATATAAATATATGTAAAGTAATGTGATATATTTGATGAAAAAAAATTTATTTTTAATCAAATTCGATTTTTGTCTAAAAAAAAAATTTCTGTCTAATGCACTTCTTCCAAATACTGAATTCGATACAAATATTCAACATAATAATATCTTATTTTGAAAATATATTTTTATTCATTACTATATGAAACATCCTTAAATTTGAAATAGCTTTTTTATGAATCCATCATAATATAAATAACGCATGTATTTAGCGTGGCTTGCATTTTATGCATCTCGGAACACTCGAGGGTGAGCGTGGTTTCATGTTATGATGCAAAAAAAAAGCGTTAATTATAACCTTTCGATTAGAAGCTCTCTTATTTTTAAACTAAACGGAATTTCATCAAGATATTGCTGTAGCCTAAGTAAAATTCCATGTAAGTTGTAAAAATACGATGATTAACATTTTGATATGTTAAAATTTAATTCATGAATCATTATATATGCGTTTGTTTTTGATCATAAAAATTGTAAATAATATTATAAATATGAATAATAGCTTAATGTTCAAATTGTTTTTTATTGTATGATTATAATTGCTTTACATTGATACAAATGTTATCTAATATATTTATTTGTTTAATTGTTATATAATAATGATATTTTAAAGATTATTAATAATTTTCAGATGCAATATGAAATTTTCAGAAGGAGAAGAAATACTTGCAAAACATCCAAATTCTGATAAATATTATAAAGGCAAAATCTTAAGTATAAAAGGTGAACGATATAAAGTACAATTTGAAACAGGCATTGAACAATATATTGATTCAACTGATATTAAGGTATTTTATATATAATATATATACTTTAAAAATATACTTAAGTTTCCTATATTTTTTTCTTTTTATATAACTTTTTCAAAATTTTAGATGGATAGGCCATCAAGAAATATAACAAGAAGTAGAAGAGGAAAAAGTCCTACTAGATATTCGTCAGTTAGAAAATCTCCACGTAAACGTTCACCTGGAAGATCTCCATCAGCTGGGTCTACAAGAGGACATAGATCACAGTCTACAAATCGTACAAAGTTTGCAAAAGTTTCTTTGCCACGTATAGAAGTATCTAGTGGTAAATAAGTTGTTATAAATAATATGCAAATTTTTTTAATAATATTATTAAATAATGGGATTTTTTTGTGAAAAATATATAGATATACAACATAATGATGATAAAATTATAAGTAAAAAAAGAACACATGATGATGATTCTGTTGAATCAATGCCTCTTCAATCACGATTGAAGGAACTAGGAACGATTACACGTAGGTCAACAAGATTATTATCTGGTATGCCAAAACCTGAATCAGACCATAATATAATTTTATTAACAAGAAATATTAATCGAGCTGTCTCACTTCCTTCAGAAAGGAAGAGTCAAATGAACGATTTTAGTATAGATGTAAAGGAAAGAGGTCATTCAGTACAAAGAGATCAAGTAACTTTACTATATATTTTTTACTATATATTATTTATAATATATTAATGTAAATATTACTATTTTGAATATAATGTTTCATTTCAGGATTTGTTAAAAATAAATTATAAAGATATAGATATAAATACACAAATGATAGAAAAGCGAAAAAAAGAAATCAATATGGTTAGTGAACCACAAGAATGGGGAGGAATGTTTGGAACTTTTATTCTTATATTTCTATTACCTGTGATTATGATTGTGCCGCAATTATTGTGTGCAAAAAATGAATGTACGTTTAAATATTATAAAATATCTACAGATCTAAATTTTTATGTAAATTTAAAAGCTTTTATTGCATATTTAAGTCTCTTTTTATTTGTAATAATTGTTTCGATCATACCAATCGGACGAAAACTTGATGGATTACAAAGTAGAATTGAAAGACTACAATATCGTTTAAATGGTAATTTTATATTGAATTTTGAAAATTCATTATAGTTTGAAAATAAATTGTTAGAATGGAATTATTATCATTCTATTTTTTTTTCAGGTTTTTTGTGTGGCATTTTATCAATAATTATATTTGCTGCATGTATATACAATGAGATTAAAATTACTGATTTTATTTTGCAAAATAATATACAATTTTCAATCATTGGTTGGATTCTTGGAATAATTTTATCAATTTTATTATTTATAAAAGGAGGCAGAGCTTCAATAGCTAATTTAAATATACATGGATCTACTAACAGTATGATATATAACTTTTGGCAAGGAAGAGAAATAAATCCACGAATTGGTCCTGTGGATTTTAAAATAAATCTTTTTCGAACTTCTATGATAACCATAGTAATAATTTCTTAAAAAGTATTTCCATTTATAAAAATGTATAATATAAAATATGTACAATTTTATTCAAATTACAGATTCTCATAAACTTATCTATTGCAATCAAAACAATTGAAGAAACTGAAATATATACTTTAGAACATCTTAATGTAGGTGCCTTATTAGGTACTTTACTACAAATTATTTATGCAATGGATGCATTATTTTTTGAATCTGCATTATTAACGACTTTCGAAATAATGTACGAGGGGACTGGATATATGTTGTGTACCGGTTATATGATGTATCCATTTTTACCGACTCTTACGACGAAATATATGTTATATCACAAGTAAATATCAATAATAAATAAAAAATAATAATATACTATATAATTAAAATTTTAATGAAATGATTTTTAAATTCAGGACACAACTTACTTATCTATTTATTTTTCCTATAATCACTTTTATAATTGGTTATTTATTATATAGAATTAGTAATCTACAGAAGAATAAATTCAGAAGGAATCCTTTATCTCCATCATTAATGCGTAAGTATAAGATTAGTTTACATTTATAATTATAAAATACTTTTTTATATGATTTATGCATTTATCTTGTAGATTTAGAAACTATACCAACTATACGTGGTAAAAAACTTATAGTATCTGGGTTATGGGGTTATATAAGACATCCCAATTATTTAGGTGATATAATAATGTGGTGGTCAATATCATGTATAAGTTTAGCATGTGATATTTTGCCTTACTATTATGCAATTTTGTGTACAGGATTATTGATACATAGAGCTATAAGAGACAATGAACGTTGCAAAATACGCTATGGTTTAGCTTGGGAGCAATATATATCACGTGTTAAGTATATGATTTTCTATCGTATATTTTAGAGTAATATAATATGTATAAAATATTAACAAAGTACTTTTAGAGATACCAAAATATGTTACAAAGTTGTACATTTAAAAACAATAATGCTCATTATTTCATAAAATATTTTAATCACATTAGAATTATATAGAGTCTATACATACACATGTGACATAGTATGTAGAGTTCAAATTAGCTCAATATAAAACCAAAAGAAATAATTGTTTAACATTTAGATTTAAGCATATCATTTTTCATAAAATCTTTAAAGCAATGAACAAAGTGTGGTTATCAAAAAAGTACATTTTAAAAGAGGATATAATTTAAGATATTGTTGATATGAATATGTATATTGTAAAGTATATTTCTATGATGAAAAATTAAAGTAAGATTTTTATACTTTTTATACAAATATGTATATTGACAAATAAATAATTTTTTAATAGTCGCGTCATTTTAAAATTACTTTCTGGTAATAAGATGTATAATATTTTATAAAAATAAATAAATAAAGAATATATTTTATGTGTTTTTTTTTTACTGTACATCAAACGAAATGTAAGAAAAAATCGATTTATAATGTCATCTCATATTTTAATGATTCATGACTGACACATGACATAGCACTAAGAGCAATATTTTGGAAAGTATTTTATAGTGATTTTTATTAATTTCATTAACAGAATGGCAACTTTTTTTGGTGAAGTAGTATTTCCAGTTTCACGAGCATTTTGGGATGAAGATGAAAATAGAGCTACTGATTCAGTTAATCAATTGTAAATTACACTTTCGTTAAACATAACCTCTTTATAAATGTTCAAAAAATTTAAATTTCTTTTAAATATGTTTCAGCGAATTATCTATTCAATGGTTAAAAGAAAAACCACTTGCAATTGATACTTTAATTATAGTTGAAGGCGAAATGCTAATTGGTAATATATATTTATAGTCTTGATATTTTAATTATGTTATGAATATTTTTAACGAAATTGTAGATTTTTCAAGAAAATGTTTGTGTCCAAATTCTAAAGAAATATGTTTCGTGGAAGATGAAAAGCAAAAGAAAATATATACAATTTATGAAGTCAGTGATAAAGTTTATTTAGGTATTGTGTCTTCTCATTTTGATGTAAAATTATCAGGAAAACTTGTGGAAAAAGTAAGTATATTTATTTTGAATTAGGAAATATTTAAGATTAATAACTTATATTAATATTGTTGAATTTATTAGTTGAGTGACATTATATTAAATGCAAAAAGTACAATTAGTATAACATGTCGTCATATATCACAATTTAAAAATAAAAATATACCAACAATACCATCTTTCTTGAGGATGTTAACTACAAAGAATGGAAAAAATATTTGCAAATTGAAAGAAACATTTCTAGAGCAACCAAATATTATATATGGAGTGGCAGCAGGAGGTTGATATTTAAAAAATATATTTTAAAATATAAATTTACTAATAAATTTTTTTTTTTAGTATTGTCATATGCTGAAATTATGGAACTACCTTCAGTTTTATATATTTTATATACAGATAGTTTTGTATTGGATTCTTTATCTGCAGAACCACTTTTAAAATTATTTTCAGCAATGAATTGTACATTACATGATGTTACATTTTCTGGAAAAGATTTTTTTAATAAAGGCAATCTTTACATGTAAAATTGTTTTTTCTTTCTCTTAAAAATTTTATGCTTATATACTTAAATTAAATTAAATAAGAAGAAAAATTAAATTAGAAATTGGAACAAATAGATACATATTAATATTATAAAAGCTTTATAATTAAATACTATTCTTAATTATAAATTTCACAATATTTACAATATTTACAAGAATTTAATTATTATTTTTTTGACAATAATAATTTTAGTTATAATAATGATACACAAACAAATATTTCATATTTGAGCTTGCAAATTTGTATGTGTTAAGGTTGTGGTGGGTAATATGTACGCGGTGTAGGTGCTGGAGGTACTGGATTATTTGGAGGAAAATATGAGGCATTTGTAGGATAAGGATATGGTTGAAATGGTGCTGGTGTTGTAGTAGGAGCAGGTGGTGCAGGTCTAGTAGTACCAGAGGAACCCATATGATGCATTGGTGGAACAATATGATTCATTGTATTTACAGGAGGAGGAGGTACAGAAACATTTGCTGGGGGAAATGCTGGTGGATAATTAATATTGATATTAATATTACTAGGTGCATAATTGGCTGGATATGTTGGAAAATGTGTTGGCACATCCATTGGTTTGATTGAATCTGTAGTATCTGTAGTTAAACATCCATTTGAAGAGACTGCAGCTGCTTCAACTTTAGTAACTTTTCCTGGTGTAACTACGATGTAATAATAATATTTTTTAATTTTTTATTTGTTATAATAATAAAATATGATTTTTGCACATACCATTTGGTGTAGTAGATGCTGATTCTGTAGGAGGTGCTGTTATAGCTCTATCTCTACAAGGTTCATTAGATGGTGTTAATGGTGGTGAATCTGGTGGTTTTGTGTTATTAGCTTGTGAATATAAATCTAATACTTGATGACAGATATCTGAAAGAAAAATGTAAAGATCATATATATTTTTTAGATTTTAAATTTAAAAAGATGACTCCTTTTTTAAAAACCTTCTAGAAGATCCATAGTAACATCTTCAACAAACATATCCCACCAACGTAAATGTTTTGGTTGTCTTCCATTCCAATCTACCACTTCAAATTTACTAAGTTTTCCAGCCAAATACATGAGAGCAACAGCTATAATTTCTGGTTCCCATTGCAGGGATAATGTTGTACATAAGCTATATATGAAAACAAAAATAAAATATTATTTACATAAATTTAATAACAATACTAAAATATTCCTACCTATCATTAACAAATGTCCAAGCCATTTGAACCATTTTTTGTAATTTATTTTTATCACCTACAATATATTATTAATTTTTTTATTATTTCTTTTAATAAAATTTAGTTTAATATTTAATAAAATATTTTAATACCTTTAAGGCATTTTGCATATTTTAACAAGTAACTATATGGATGTTCAACTTGTAAATCAAACTTAATAGTTTGTAATAAAATTCTTTCTAATGTCATAACTTCTTCCTAAAGAATAAGAAAAGAAAGATTATTTTATAAAAATAAAATAATTATTTTAATATATAAATATTTAATTGATGTACTTTTGGATCTTCTCCAAATGTCATAAATTTTTGCTCACTCAACAAAGACTTTGCAGTTCTTATTATATCTTTACATTTTTTTGGTGTTTCTTCTACTTTTCCTGCCAGAAGTAAACAACAGCATGCAGTAACCTATATGGTATTTATAAAATATGATATATGATACTTATATATACTTATTTTTTAGATTAAAATATTTATCAATAAAAATACTTACATATCTTGGAAAATTCTTAAATGAATGAAACATATAAAATCTATGAAAATAAACAACCCCAGTTGCCATTGTATTATATCCTAAATCCATTTTTGTACCTGTATCAATAATAAATCTTGCACCCTCTTTTCTATATCTGCATTCTGTTTCATAATCAATTCCATCTTGAATAGACGGTGTATTTCGGAGTTCTTTTTTCTCATAATACCAGCATGGCATTTTTGTTGTTCTTGAAATAATACATATAAAATGGAATAAATATAGATAACTATTATTATTATTAGATAATTATAGATAACTATTATAGATAATCATTATAGAATTAATATAGATAAAAAACATTTTATTGTGATTATGTTACTAAAAATAAGTTGAATATAATTTTATGTAATTTTATGTAATAATAATTTAATATTTAATTAACAAATTATATAATTATATAAAATTATACTAGAACTTTTTATAGGAATATGTTTTGAAATAGGTTAGAATATTTACCAATATATAAAACTTTTTTTTTTTATTTGTTTATATATTTCCCATTAAACATATAAAATCTACTCAATTAAATAAAAACTTCAAAGTTTATTATATTAGTAAGTTTTTATTCTAAATTGTTTGTTATAAACAATTGCAAAATCTACAAACACCACGAAAATATATATTATGTGAATTTATCTGCAGTACATCTATATATGAAAATAAGAGATAGATCACTTTGCATAAAGTGTTACCACTTGTTGGATATGTTTCAGGAGTATGTTTCATGTGAACGAGTCTTATAATAAGTAAAATAAATGTTTTATATTGTTTTTTAAAAATATTTTTTGTTTTTTTTAAATGAAGAATATTTGTCATTAAATATATTAATAAAATATAATTTTTATCAAAAAGATTATAAAAATTTCTTTTTTAAATGTAATGTATATATATTATTTTTATACATATATTATATATTATGTGATGATTATATATTAAAAATGATATAAACTTTTAATAATATATTAATAATAAAATTAAATATATATTTGTTTTAACATATATTTTTTTCGCAAAATATATTATCTGTGTATTATTAATATGTTTTTCACTTTATTTTTGCTCTGTTTGTTGATAAATCGATAAGATACATATGAAGGTGACTTAGATCTATAACGCAGAAGTATAAAAAAGCAAATTGTATAAAGGAAGAAGAAAAAGTAGAAATATCTTTTTCTATGTAGTATTACATTGAAATAAACTAAGTAAATATATCATTATTGTTTTTTTTTTAAAATTTACGTTATACGAAGATTGTAAATTATCTGTGTCTCGGCCTTAAACTTAATTTATTTATACAGTGAGCTTTTTTAAACATAATAATATATATCTATATTTTATTTAAAATATTTTATATTACATGTTTTATACATATCATATATGTTTTAGACATATCATATATATATATACATGCAAAATATGTTGAATATATATATATTTCTTTTAATATTTTTCATATAAAATAAACTTTATTAAAAAATTGTCCGATTTTGTTTAAGACTACAAAATAGATGTTTCCGGTTCATGTTAGAGATCTAGTTTGAATACCTTTTGTTTAATGTATTATCTGTGGTCAATACATAGCAGAGTATATGACATAGAGTCATACATGTGTCTATTAATTTACCGCGAATTCTCGTAATTTTACATTTTGAGAGTGATCTACATCGCGCTCCCGTAACGTAACTAAATGTTAATTTATGACGACCGCGCACGCAAGAATATTCTACAAAAACGTCTACAATTTCACAGATAATAATACGACGACTATAATGCCGTTAGCGAATTTGACAGTTCCTTGGTCCGAGCAACATATAACTGAGAAGGTACTGTGTTTTTATATTCATAGAAAAAATCGATTAATGTTAAAAGTCTGTTGATTTATTAATTTACTTAATAATTTTTTAATAGTTAAAAATTTGTATTTTAATTAATTTAATATAATATAGCAAGATGTAGATATCCTCACATCAGAGTCTCAAGAGGAAGTAATGATAACTCAAGAAAATGTAGTTGAACCACCTTCAAATGGGTGCTCTGAGTCACATGAAATAGAAGTACGTGAAGTAGTAAGAGATGGACATGAAAAAGCAGATCCTTCTCAATTTGAATTACTTAAAGTTTTAGGTCAAGGATCTTTTGGCAAGGTATTAACCAATATAATAAATTTATTAGAAATGATTAATTTATATATAATTAACTTATATATAATAAAATATATAATGAAATATAATTTTTTAGAATTAAAATTCTTATGTTATTTAGGTATTTCTAGTGAGGAAAGTTGTTGGAAAAGATAGTGGAACACTTTATGCTATGAAAGTATTAAAGAAGGCAACATTGAAAGGTGCTTAATAAAATAACTCTATGAGAGTAGCTCTGAAGATTTTAAAAATTATTAGCTTTTTTATATTCAACAAATACATTTCAAAAATATAAGTTTTAATATTAAGAAATCAAAAATTGTGAGATATAATGAGATATAATTCATTGATTTAAGCTCCTTATTTTGCATTAAATTTTATATAATTTAAAAATTTATATTATTTTATGTATACCTTTTAAAGTAATGAATTTTTAAAATTAAAAAAAATTGTATTTTTGAAATCTATTTGTTGAATGTTATTGAAAAACATAAAAAAAGATTCATAATTTTTGATATTCCAAAGCAAAAATCATCCAATTATAAAAAATTTTCAGAGCAATTCTCATTTTAAAATTGTTGTTTGTTTTTTTTTTTTTTTAAGTGGTTTAATATTGCAATATTATCTCAGTTCGGGACAGAGTTAGGACAAAAATGGAAAGAAATATATTAGTGGATGTTGAACATCCATTCATTGTACGACTACATTATGCATTCCAAACAGAGGGCAACCTCTACTTAATTTTAGACTTTTTAAGGGGTGGTGATCTATTTTCAAGATTAGCTAAAGAGGTATCTATAATTATTTAAATTAATATGAATATAATATATTTCATATCATTAATATCATAATATCTTATATTATTAATATTAAGTTTTGTGATTGAATTGATTTACTTTTGTAATTATTGTTTTAGCTAATGTTTACTGAAGATGATGTAAAATTTTATTTAGCTGAACTTGCTCTGGCATTGGATCATATACATAAACTTGGAATTATTTATAGAGATCTTAAACCTGAAAAGTCTGTATTATATTTTATTTGTTAATAATTTAATTAATATAAAACTGTACAATTTTAATACTTATTTCATTTTAAACAGTATTCTGCTTGATACTGAAGGTCATATTGCTTTAACTGACTTTGGATTAAGTAAACAACCTTTAGATGATTGTAAAGCATACTCATTTTGTGGTACTGTAGAATACATGGCACCTGAAATTGTAACTAGAAAAGGTCATTCATTTGCTGCAGATTGGTGGAGTTTTGGAGTACTTATGGTCAGTAATAATATGATTCTTTAATTTAATCATTTTTATAAAAATTTTTAAATAAATTCTTAACTTTTCTAGTTTGAAATGTTGACTGGAGCTCTTCCATTTCAAGGTGCAAATCGTAAAGAAACAATGACACAAATATTAAAAGCAAAACTCGGAATGCCGCTTAATATTTCACCTGATGCTCAAGCACTTCTTAGAGTATTATTTAAAAGAAATCCTGCAAATAGATTGGGATCTGGTATTTTTTTACATCTTTTTTAATATAAAAATATTTCTTTTATATAAAAATAGTTACTCTTATATTTATTCATTATTTTATTTTAGGTGGAATAGAAGAATAAAAAATCATCCGTTTTTTGCAACAATCGATTGGAATGCTCTTTACAAAAAAGAAATAAAACCTCCTTTCAAACCAGCAGTTAGTCAAGAAGATGATGCATTTTATTTTGATAGTGAATTTACGTGTAAAACGCCTAAAGGTAATGTTTCATTTAATTAAATATAATTTAATTACAAATGAGAAAAGTTAAATGTAAAAATAATTTTAGATTCTCCTGGGGTACCACCAAGTGCTAATGCTCATGAATTGTTTCGTGGATTTAGTTTCGTCGCCCCGTGCCTTCTTGAGGATCACATAAAAACTCCTGAATATAAAAACTGTGATAGTCTTGCAGCTACTTTTCCAACATATGTGAGCGCTGTTTCTGTGAGTGATGAATATGATTTTAAACAAGAAATTGGTAAAGGAAGCTATAGTACTGTTTATTTAGCAATCCATAAAGCTTCTAAAGCAGAATATGCTGTGAAGGTAATTGAAAAATCAAAAAGAGATCCAACAGAAGAAATAGAAATTTTACTTCGATATGGAAGACATCCACATATTGTAACTTTGAGAGCTGTTCATGAAGATGATAAACGAGCTTATCTTGTATTAGAATTATTACGCGGTGGTGAACTCCTTGATCGATTACTACAAAGACGTAATCTTACAGAAAAAGAAGCAGCTGAAGTGATGTACACAATAGTTAGTGTAGTTAATTATCTTCATGAAAATGGAGTAATTATCTATTCATTTATCATTTTTTAAATTTTGTATTGTATTATATTAGATTTATTGATTAATCTGATTTGTATAATCGATAGGTCGTTCATAGAGATTTAAAACCATCCAATATATTGTATTCAAAATTAGGAGCTGATCCAACAACACTTTGTTTATGTGATCTTGGTTTTGCGAAACAATTACGAGCAGAAAATGGTTTATTAATGACTCCCTGTTATACTGCGAATTTTGTAGCACCAGAAGTGTTAAAACGTCAAGGATATGATGCAGCATGTGATATTTGGTCACTTGGCGTTTTATTATACATTATGTTAGCCGGGTAATTATAATTAAAAATTCAATAATTATGTATTTGAAAACTATTACATTATATTGTATTTTTTAGATATACACCATTTCGCAATAGTCCTGGTGACAGTGCAACAGATATATTAGATCGTATTGGACCTGGTTATATTGATGTCGAAAGTGGCATATGGTGTCAAATTTCGAACGAAGCAAAAGAACTTGTCAAAAGAATGTTACATGTTGATCCTAATCGAAGGCCTACTGCAGCTGCCATATTAAAATATCCATGGATTGCAAATCGACATCGTCTTCCACAAAAAATATTACCTGAAAGTACTAAAGATCCACATAGCCTAAAGGTATATTGTGTTTACTTAATATATATTTGAAATATATTCATGATTAAATTAATAAAATTAATAAACATATTTTTAGATAGCAGTAGCTGCAACATATAGAGCAATGTCTAGCAGTCCAAGATCACCTCATATTGGTCCTGTTGTCATGTCCGAGTTAGCACGACGTAGAACACAAGCCAAGCCTATTGGTCCTACTGAAATTTGAAAAAAATTTAATTCTATTCTGTGTCGTTGAAAAGTAAGGGAAAAATATTAAATTACGAATTATGTGATTCCATATATAAAAGAACTATATTTTGTTGATATAAATCTAGTATTATTTGTGCAATGTTCAAATGTAGCTAGTATATATTAATTTTATAAAAATACTCTGTTATTATATAACTTGCATCACCAAAATCATCTTTATTCTAATTATCATATGTGTATGTGTATAGAATAGGAAATATGTATTTAAATTCATATTTTCAATTTTAATATAATACAAAAATTAAATGTCAAAAAGAAACTCTTATAATCTATATTGTACATGACTATCATTTAAATATTAAAAATAATATAAATATTTGTGAAAAAAAAATATACACTTATACACACACATATATATATATATTTTACAAATATTTATATTATATATATTTAATAAAATGTAAAAAATGAATTATATCTATTTCAATTTTTGATCAATACTTTGTTAAATAAATTATTAATTGTATATAATAAAACAATTTTACTTAATTGAAGTTAAAATAATTAAAAATATTTTTTTAATTAATATTTTTTAAGAATATATAAAATTTGTAATCATATTTATATTATATACACAATGTATATAATTGTTTGTATATACACAAATGCTTATATAACTATATTATTTAAGAAGTCTGAAAATTTTGATATTTTTTTGATTGATGAATATAATATGAATATAATATATAAAATAATTTATAGTGTTATCAAAATAAATATTTTTTTACAAAAATTTCATTTCAATAACTTAATGCAATTAATTTAATAAAACAAATTTAAATTATTTTTTAAATTATTGTTTTCATTTTATAAAATTAATTGCATATTTTGTTACACAAAAAACAAAATTTAAATATATATTTAAATTATGTTATAAATTAATTATATATTGTAAAAAAAAATAATAAAAAAAAATCCATAGAAATTGTTACATTTCTTGTAAAAATATATAATGAACACAGAAATATTATTGAAAATTTTTTATCAGAAATGTATATTATTATTTTTAAAATATACAGTTTATATTAGTACGTATGTACAATGTATGTACATACATATATATATATATACAATAATATATATTTACAATAAAATATATTTAATTTATAATGCAGTAATATATGCGCATGTGCACATTATTAAACGAAAACGTGGTAGCTGTTTCTTCTGCGGATTTCTGTGCTTTCTTGTATAAAATAGTCATAATATATTTTTCAATAGTTTTTATTACTATATTATTCGTTTTTTGAATTTAGTTATCTACAAAGGTGAGATAGTATTCGATACATGTTAAATTTTCAATTTGTTCAATTAAAAAAATGCAAAAGAATGATCATTATATCGTTAGTGAAGTTTGCATATTCTTATGCATTGATTTCGTTTTTCATTTAATGTGATTTATGAAAATTAAATATATTGACTAAAGTAAACTAGATTTTAGAAACATAAAAAGTATTTAAATATTATAATATTAGAATATTTAATTAAATATTATAATATAAAATATCTCTTTTTCAATCTCTTTTTCTTGTTTTCTTATAACATACAACGTAATTAGTCACATTTTCCTTCAAAAAATCAATATTTTGAAGATACTTCACTTTAATTTCATTATATAGCCTATAAAAATTTCATTATATTTAAAAAACAGAGGTATAACAACAATTATTTACTTTTCATTTCATACTACGCGTTTATTTATGTTCTAATTATAATGCCATAATTATAATGTTTTTGATGTTTTTAATCTATCATTTTTTCACCGATTTTTATTAAACTTATCAAAGTGTGATTACATCAATACATATTTGCACTTATATGATTTCTACGATTATATAAAAATTAGTCGAATTATTAAATACGTGAAAATATGATATCGCGTTCATGTTTTAGAACTTTAAAATTAGGTATGAAGTGATTCAATTTATTCAAATTAAAATTCTAATTTTTTGCATTTTATGAATTTATTATTATTATAAATTTAAATATTTTTTGACATTATATTTATTTTTTAGGTGTTTATAATATGCTTCATAAGGGTCCATGTCCATTAGTTTTATGTGGTCCTTCAGGAAGTGGAAAAAGTACATTAATAAAAAAGCTTTTTGAAGAATTTCCAGACACTTTTGGTTATTCTATATCTCATACCACTAGAGCCCCTAGACCAGGTGAGGAAGATGGGAAACATTATCATTTTACTACTAAAGAAAAAATGCAAAAACAGATAGAACAAGATGAATTTATCGAAACTGCTATATTTAGTGGAAATATGTATGGCACTAGGTAAAAATTATTTTATATTATTAAAATTAAAAAGGAACATAATTATATTATATATAATTTTGTTTTAATATTTTTAGTAAACGTGCAGTAGAAGAAGTACAGCAAATGGGTAAAATTTGTGTATTAGATATTGAAATACAAGGAGTAGAGCAAATAAAACGAAGTTCTTTAGATCCCTTGTATATATTTATTAAACCACCATCTATAGAAGAGTTAGAGAAAAGATTAAGAGCTAGAAAAACAGAAACAGAAGATGTTTTGAAACAAAGATTGTCTATTGCTAAAATAGAAATGGAATATGGTAAAAATTATGGATTTAATGATTCTTAAAAATTTAAATATTTTTTATATATTTTTATGTTAGATATAAACTTTATAAAATTATTATAGGTGAAAAACCTGGTAATTTTGACATAGTGATTGAAAATGATAATTTTTCAAAGGCATATAATATATTAAAAGAATTTGTGATGTCAAATTTGAAGCAAGGATAAACAGGTATAATAAATAATGTTTAGATACATGTCAAACAAATAATATTTATATTCATATTTTTAATATTTTATAGGATATTAAATTTATGCTTCTTAAAAATATACTCTTCTTTGAAATTAAATTATAATTATTTTTATATATATATTTCTATGTAAATTATAATAATAATAATTAATTAATACGTGATAAAATACATAAACTCATGTTCAAAGATCAAATTAGTAGATTGAAAAATAAATGTAGGTAAATAATTTTATACAATAATAAATTGATTTTAATATTGAAAGAGTAATTATAGCAGGAAGCTTCAAGTTTGTTATATGCATAGTATTAATGTAAAATTAATATCATTTAATTTTAAAAATATAATATCATTAAATTTTAAGAATAAAAATTTATAGCTGGGAATAAAACTACAAATAAGGAAATAAGGACAAAATGTTTATATAATTTCTTTGAACTTGGTAATTAAAAAAAATAATTGTATATAATATAATAGTTATCAATTAAGTTATTTTTATAATTTGTTTGCAATTATACATACATATATATATGTATGTATATATATGTTTTATATGATTAATAAATTTGTATTACAGTATTTACTTATAACAATTAGTTTTTAAGATTATATCAAATCAGTGGAAAAATTTTTGTTATTTTAATATTCTAGTGTAACATTCCTCAACCTTTAAATAATTCAATATATTAATTTGTAATTGTACCATGATTCAAATATTTATATGAAATTATATATTATATATTTACATGAAATTTTTAAGAAGTTAAAAATTTTTTTAATTGAAATCATTGTTTATATAAATAAATAAAATTATGATATATATATATCTTATATTGCTTGTATATGTTATTATAAGTAATTTTTCAGTGAATTGTAATTTATTAAAAATTCGTCACAATATTAGATCGATTTATAGGTTGAGAAACGTTGCTCTAGTGAATATAGAAAAATATAAAATAATTTTAGATTAATGATATCTTGCCAAATGTATACAAAGGATAGTCAATTTACATAAAGACTTTAATGCAGGCTAGATATCTAGAAAGAAATTTGCAAAAATTAAATATAATATTTTAGATGTAGTTAACTGAGACTATTCACCAGACGAAGTTGTGTTCCAATAGTGTAGATTACTTATAAAATACTTGTGGTTTTTGTCCTCGTCAAACATCGTATAATTATTGCACCATGCAAGATTCATTACACATAATTACATATAATTCAATTATACTTAAATATATCATATTATTATTTTAGTAGATAGAAAAGGCATTTGTCCAAACATTCCTTTAGCATTCGTCATCAATTAACATATTTGACATGTTTTTTATTTGAAAACATTCTTGAAAAATATTTGAAATAAATATATTTTCATATTAATCGATATTATTAAAATCATACCATGATCATTGTCATTTTCATTTTCATATATGTTACGTGTTTTTGCATCATCAATTTATTTATTCGTCAAATATTAACAAGTTGTTGCTTCCATGCGCATCGCGGAAAAAAATACATATTTTCTTATATATGCGATGTTATTGCTTGTTAGTATGTGTATAGTTATATAAATATAACAATAAAAAGTTTAAATGAACAAAGCGAAATAAAATATATACACATATATTGTTATAGAAAATTGTATCATTGTTGTATCATATATTGAATAAATATTTCAACTAAACGATATTGAAAACATTTTTTTACGTTTCCTCTATATTATTCCTATATATTACCTTGAAATAGATGATTAAACATAATTACATTTCTTTTTAAAATAAGAATTATTTTTTAAGATTGATGATGATGAGAATAGTCGCGTTTTGGCCATTCCCCATGATGATGACGAGTCTTATGTTTAGGTACTTCGCTAATTTCGATGGATGTCACTTTAACGTCCTTCTCCGCTGTTTTCTTCATCTCATTTTGAATCAAATTATCTCCATAATTCCTAGGCATAAATTCACTAATATTCTTTGTTTGGGATAAATTTTGAGCTTTATTTTGCACAGTAAGTTCTGGTTTCCTCGAAAAAATATAATTGATAACCTGAGGTCGCGGTGCAAAAATATTTTCCTTGAATAAGAATCTATAATTGATTTTGAATCCGATGGATTCGCATCTTTTAACAATGGTGTATTTAATTGACTCGTTCTTATTGCTTGTATCACTTCCTGTTTTCGTGATGCTTTATTATTGTTATATTGAATCGAACTGACCGGTTTTAAAGTATCTCTGTTTGCAAGATCACGCGTTGTTAATCTTCTAATCGAATCTCTTTCATCCAATTGAATACGACTGGGCAAAGCTAAAGGTTCTTCTTGAATTTCCTCGTATAGATCTCTTCTCAGACCTCGTTGTTGTTTTAAAGAATTCGTTAAAGGATCGATTCGACGAATTTGTTGTTGTTCAATCTTGTATCCCGTTTCGGGAATAATGATTCGACGACGAAAAAAAGAATCCTGATCTTTGACGCGATCCAAAAAATTCTCAAGCGTGTTCCAATTTTCTAAATCCCGGGAAATCGCTTTTCTAGCTATCTTCGAAATTTCCTGTATATCCAAAGATCGTGTATTCGATTCAAGAGAGAAACGATCGTCATTTTGAAGGATGGCATTTACCGCACTGTTTTCATAGTTGTCCAACTGAATATTGTTTTCTGGATATGTGAGACGTTCAGAAGGTATTTGATAACTCTTTTCTAGGACTGCTCCTCGATCAAAGTAACGTTTCTCTTGATAACTGTTGCGTGGTTCCTCATTGGTATCTGGATAATAAGCTTCATAGAAGACCGGGCCTTTTTCAAGATCATAGCTCTCATAACTTGGGTAAAATATACGATTAATTTATTAAAAATAATTTTTTAAATATTTTAATAAAGATTTTAATAAAAAAAAAAAGACAATTGATCTCCAATGAAAATAAAAAATTAAATTTTGACTACATACCGGTGAATATCAGGATTCCAGGTAAAAGCCGGCGTTACACCTGATAGAAAATAAAACAATTATTTTATGTTAATATTATTTCAGGATTTTTTGAAAATTGAAATAATTAAACTAAACATTGATCGAGAAAAACACTTAATAATTGACTCGTTAATCGATATAACAGTCATTATCAGTTCTTTGAATGGCCTTTTAAGTTACATTAGGGAAACAATTTGTACGATATGCTTTCGAGTTGTTTATTATGTACATGTCGATTAAAACATTTTGACACTGTGAACATTATTATAAAATAGATATTAAAAATTTATAAATTCGTGGAAAAGACATTCTCGTTGTCATACAAAAAGTTTTTTCAATAATATTATATTGAAAAAAATGTAATTATGAAAATTATTGTACGATATCGTGAAACATCATCATTATAAGATTATTCAATGCCATTTATTGTTAAAAGAACTAAATTTTTTCGTTTCTCTTTTAAGCATTTCAACGTTTCATTATTGTACGTGTATTCAATTTGTGTACATTCATTAATTCCAATTTTTGCATCCTATGCTTCTCTTCAAATATTTGAATTTTGCAAAAAATGTAGCTATAGTTGTCATATAAATAGCTTTCACGTTTTAACATATGTTTTTCTTTGCTGTAAAGAAGGAAAGATGAAAAAGTTACGTACCGAAGAAAATTGTTATGACTATCGTTGAACGTAGACACTGTTTAAGAACCATGATCCTATCGCAACGACATGCAACTGAGTCTCTAAGAGGGACGTTTGCGCGTATTTTCAGAGTTCCCTAAAATAAACCACCGTTTCCTTCAGGTCTCGTTGACTTGATTTTCGGAGGAAGAGAGACGGGTAGAAAGCTCGAAAGATTACGAACTATTATTCTTATGTCCCATGTGAATAACATTACATGTGAAATATTATTTCGCTTGGTTGCGACTTTTTCGATGATTCCGCATGATGAATCAGTCAACCGAGCAGCATGGACAACCAAAAAAATATCGTAATTTGTGTCATTTGTTGATTCTGGAACTTTGATTTCTTGGAAGATATAAAATATCAAGTGGCAATGTAAAAAAACTATTTTCTCTCATAGTTTATATTGAATTGTGTTTCAATATAATACAAGTAGAACAAATTGACGAACTTTTAGATAAATAAAAGGATTATTATCTGTATTATAATAATTGAATTTCTATGTATTATCCTAGTATCTTTGTTTTGATTAATTTTTTAATTTTTTAAATTTTTGGTTTAGAAAATTATTTAAATGAAAAATCATCTATCTTTAAAATTAAAAAATTTTGTCCAAAAATAGTAAGACGAAAGAATAAGTATATTATATAATAAGTAATATGGAATATTTTAATAAAGAATAAAAATGTCGTTGTTATCTTTATCAATTTTTCATTTTTATCCTTTCTATTTCGTTTCTTATTTTCTAAAAAAATAAAAATTGATATTTTTTTGCGCACTATTTTTCATGTAACAGAAATAAAATTTAACTTGAATGGAGAATATAGAGTATAATAAACTGTGAATATGGAAAATTAGTTATTTATAGAAATTGCGTGCGATTTATTAAATTATGTCAAATTTTCTACTATACTATAAATATACGATATCGCGTACTAGATTGTTTTGCAATTTTGAGATTAATCAGTTCGAGTACGAGTACTGTTAAATAATAAAATTTCTTTACTGAATTTTTAAGAGGAAGGTACTCTTTTATATAAGAAATAATGCAATAAGTTAAAAAAAAATTAAATTAGTATTAGTGTGGAAGGATATAAGTCTCTTCATCATTGAAATTGACAATTTTGAGATTAATTAATTGAAATGAATTTTGTTGAAAATACTTATACGTAATATGACATTAATTAAATTATAGTAAAGTATATAATAGTATCATACATAACCTTCTAGAAAACTTAAATGTTTTTAGGTATTTTATTATCAATTGTAAATATATTTTCAAAACTCGAATAGATTTATATATAATAATTTTTATATATGTGACATATATACATATATATCATATGTTAGCATATGGAATATTATTTTTATGCGGAAATCGAAAGTAATACAATAACCAAATCTAATAATAAAAATTAATATACAATATTAATTTATTTCCTAAGACTTTTATTATTTGGATATTTGAGAAGCAATCTCCCAATATGTGCAATGTAAATTATATGCTATATTAATATTCTCATAAATTGTTATAAGTGTATATATTTATGTGGAGTAAGACAAGGAAAGTAAATAGTTAGAAAAGGACAGAGATAGTGTAAAAATATGGGAATCAGCGCCATCTTCAGAGTGCCGCAAATGAAACACATAAAGAAAGGACAGAAAATAAGTGGAAGAAGGATGGAAGATAAAGAATTGACTACCAGCGCCATCTCTTGAATATAAGAAATTAATTAGTGGCGCCATCTCTTTGAAAAATGCTCAAACTTGATGTCAGAAACATATATAAGACCTTAACCAGTGTCGCCATCTCTTCGAAAAATGCTGAAACTTAATGTTAGAAAGACTTTAGTCAGTAACGCCATCTCTTCGAAAAATGCTGAAACTTAATGTTAACAAGACTTTAATCAGTAACGTCATCTCTTCGAAAAATGCTGAAACTTAATGTTAACAAGACTTTAATCAGTAACGCCATCTCTTTGATGAGCGTTCAAACTTAATATCTCTTGATATTCGAGAGATGGCGTTGGTAGTAGATTCTTATTATATCTCTGTCCTTCTTCCACTATTTTCTGTCCTTTCTTTATGTGTTTCATTTGCGGCACTCTGAAGATGGCGCTGATTCCCATATTTTTACGCTATCTCCGTCCTTTTCTAACTATTTACTTTCCTTGTCTTACTCCTTAAATTGTAATGACAAATATAAACACTTGTGACGGTAAAATTATAGACCGAAAATCCAAGATTCTTTTTAATAAAGGGAAAGAAAAAAGAAATAATGGTCTCATATATATTTTTATATATGCTATGTATTTATTATTATATGTATTCTATATACTATATTCATAAAATATCTATATATATTTATAATTTTATATGATATACATATTTTCTATTTCTTAACGTAATTCCTGATAATATGATAGCTTAAGAAGATATATATATATTTAAAAATTAAGTATAACGCAAGAATGAATATATAAGAAGGATATATAAATTTGAAAAATATGTAAAAGATAAATATCTCTAAAATTAAGAAAATTGTTGAAAAAATATAATGCACGACGTCTATTCGTTGTATAGCAAATATATCTAGGAATTCTTAAACTCGTGGAGTTCTCCAGCCAATTGTCAACGTGAATGAGATATCCATGCGGCGTTGAAACGACCTTGCATCGATTCTCGATCGATTCTCAAACGTTTGCCATAATATGGTTGTTGTAAATTTTCATTCTCTCTTTATTCTCCGATTCGAAAATTCTGAATTGTTCGATCTATTGAATTGCTACCCGTTGAAATTGATAGCGCATCGATACGTCATCCTTGATAACAACATCCGTAGAATCCGTCTCTT